CTTTTCTCCATGGCTGTATTGCCTTGGACTCCCTTCATGTGAGGCTCGTTTAGCTTCTCGAAGCTGCCGTATATGGCTGGGTCATGAGGGAGGGGAGAATGACACGAACCACAAGAATATTCTAAGAATATTCTATGGCTTATGAGATTTAAGGCTGTAACACCTTAAGGGTTGGGAAGTTGGCCTAGGGTTCGCTCTCTTGTTCGTTTCACTGGCTATATTGTAGGGATAGGGCTAGGATCACATAATTAGGGTTGGATCTGTCTAGCTGAGGCTACCATGATTGTCAGCCATCAAGGAGTTGGCATAGGTACAATCTTTTGTGAGTTTTGAAATGTTGTGGATTTTGTCGAGGTGGATCATGGTTCTCAGACCTTCTTGGATAGTTAGGTGGATATAGATGCTTTCTATATTGTGATGCATTGACAAGTTCACAAGAAGGAAATGCTTCAATTGATCAAAGCACAAACAAATGTGGCATACAATGAACAAATTCCTCACATCACTATTCCTTTTTAAACTCTAGAGCCCAAGTAGTAGCCTCTTTTGATGATTTCAAGTGTTGAAGATCCATATATTCCATAGACAAAGCTATCTCATGCTTTGTGAGAACACCAACTGTACTCCCAAATTGAGGATTTAAACCTGATAAAACCAAGCCTTGATCTTCTTCAACTTTTTAGCTTGCTTTATAGATGTTGGATTAACTTGCCAGTGTCACCAACAAGCCACCTTTTTTCCAGCATATTTGGCAAGAGCTCCAACATCTAAATGTGCACATTATTGATGAGATAAGGGAGGTTGATTCTAGAGCATTATTTTGCATGGCCAAGGTTGGACTCCATGTGATTCAAAATACCATTATTTACTCTAGCTCTGAAAACACCATCATTTTGGCACATATACATTAGAAGCCCAACTTACTAACAGTCACAAAGACATTCAAGACTTTTACCTAGTATCAAGTGTTGCCAGCAGGTTTTCCATACAAACTTTAAGTCACTATAAAGGGAGTTCAAACCTTTCTAGATTTCCTGGTCATCAACCTTTTAGGAGGATGTGACACTATAGCTCAAACCTTCATCACGCTTAGCTAGAGAAAGTCCATATTCACATATATTAGGACATTAGAGTAATAGAGATTTTTATTGACAACATGTGGGGAAACTCTATAATGTTGCTAAAAGCTATTGTCTATATGAATCTCCAGTTGAGCTAGTGAAAGTTTATCAATTATAACCAAGTTTTACCTAACAATGATCATGAGTTTTATATGAACCAACTTCAATACCAAAGAAGAAATCATGGTACAACCCACAATATCCTTCTCAACATATCAGAAAGTTAAACTTCATAATACCAAAGCTAATGAAGAGTATATTTACATCAATCCAAAAGCCAAGCACAATGAAGCTATACTCAATAAGTGATCACTAAACAATCTTCCATGAATTCATCTATCTTTTGCAATTGTAATGCATATAATCATAGGATGAGATTTAGATATACTAATACTGTGGATCTTTGGAATCTTAGGGATAAATGGGGATAAAATAGCCATTAAGGGCTCTATTATCAAACAATTGCCCCTTTTCCAGTTGGATTAAGGGGAGAAAAATAGAGTGCACTACATGTGGTATCAGAGTAAATGACACGGGTTTGATTCCCATTTATTAGTGGCTACCTAAAATATAATATACACTTGAGTAAAATTAGCAATGCTCATTGGTAAACTTCTCTATTATATCCTAAGCTGCTTGCAAATTCCGTTTACACACCACTAGAATCTCATCAAATTCTGTGGCCAAATCAATCACCTCAGAATCAAGTTTATCTTGAACGTCCTTACTCAAATGCAATCCCAACTCCACCGCTGTTCGGGAATGCTTTCCAAACATGGCAAAGTAAGGACTTAGCTTGGTTCCATTGTGTTGGCTATTGTTGTAAGCAAATTGCACCAACAAAAGATATAAATCCCACTGTCCTTGCCTTTGACCAATGCTACAAGTCACGAATAAATAGCAAGTAACTCGAAGGTGTTTTTCCATTACGACAAGCCCACTTCAAAGATGTAGCAGAGAGTATAACAATTGATGGTTGAATGCTCTCACCAAACCACACATCTTTAATGCCACCATACTCCAGTGAGACACACTTAATACTCCACTTTATCTCTAGATCCACTTTCACCAACCATGGCATCCCAAGAATGAGATCCACACAATGGATATCTGCGAAATAAAAAGTCTCCACAAGTGTGGTTTTGCCAACCAACACTTCCAACCCCTTGACACAAGCATCGAAATGTTGAGCAGAGGTAGCTGCACCTTCCACCGTGTATGGAAGAATTCCATATGTGACCAGGCCATGCTCCGCAACAAACTTCGCCGAAACAAAGTTGTCATCGCTCCCACTATCCAGTAAAATCTACATTGGATCGCCACGGAACACGCCCTCTAGCATTAAAGCTGATTCACAAGTATCCTCGAGCTCCATCTTGTTCCACACACAGTTGAGCTAACGAGCAACGATCTAAAGTCTCTTCCTCTGATCGGAATAGTCGTTCTCGTCATCCTCACGCTACAAAGTTTGCAACTTTTTAATATCTGACTTACCGTGAGTAAAAGATTAGCCATTCTTCTTGTCCTACTGCTTGTTCTTCAACTGCAAACAATTAGCCTTATAGTGTCCAAGTTCACTGCAATGATTCCATCATGCCATACATCTCATTTTGCATCTCTTGCTGATTTCAATTAAGGGCTCACAACTCATGAACCAAATCTTGAATGGTCCAAATCTCTGTAGCTTTGTTTGCACCATCGTTGGCATCACTATCGACAATAGAATTCCAATGTTCAACTTGGTCAGCCATCGCAACCAACTTCTATAATACCAATGGTATGATCTGGCACAAAAAGATAGAGATTTAGTCACCCTAGACTATGCTACGCCACCTCTTGAAATTCCTCACCACCCAACCACCCTCAAGCTACCTCAAAAGCTCCATTGCGCCACTGGGTTTTTGTCCCCTACCCTAACATGCCTTAATATACCCTTGAGCCTCCCTTTGACCGACGTTGACCATGTGGTCAAAGCTGGCACCTAACACACAAGATATGCACATTATTGATACAGCCTCCTCTTCTAATCCAGATGTATTTTATGCACCCATAGACTTTGGCAATGGTTCTCTTGGCAATGGTTAATTTTCTTCTTCATCTTGTACTTCTTTTTTTAGACATTTGGTGCAACAATTCAACATGACTTCTATAGCTTGGTCATGGATTCTCTTTGTGTTGGAGTCCACTCGATCCCCCATGGTCACCTATCAGGACATGGAGTGTAGCTTAAAGCACTAAGAATATTCTAATTCTTGGAATATTCCCCTCTCTTTCCCGTGCAAGGAGGGCATTTAGGGCAATTGGAAAGAACTTGACTTTGTGATAGAGTCAGAAATGTTACAAGATAACCCTCATCTCCTAACACTTATTAAGGAGGTGGCAAATACAGAAATAAGGAAAGCCAAACAGAAGGATTTTGGATGGAGCTAGAGATTCCCACAAAGTAATAAGTAAAAAGAATCCTCTTTTTCAACTCAATTGGAAGTGGTAGAGAAGGTTCCAGGAGGTGTTAGTGGGTCAACTTTAAAATTTATTAGTAAGTGTCTAGAATGGAACATTACATTTCTTGTAGAAGAAATATTTGCAAACCTGGCCACAGTAGAGAGTTTTCATGTTTTCCATCTTCCTCAATTCAAACTTTGAGAAGACAATGTCTATATTACCATATGCAATTCTTTTTATAGGATTAGGGATCTCAAAGTGTAGAATTATGATATAAATAGTTATGTGAGATCCACCTTCTTTTGGCTTTGCAATGGCAACATCATACACGTCTTTTTCAAGTCTACCGAGGATCTGGCTTCTTCAAATCCTTTGTTTGCTTTACCAGAGGCTGAACAGGCTACGTCATACCACTTGGACCCAGTGACCACCACACAACTTGTGAGAATTTGAACTGGGCTGTGCATCCAGGGCCCATGATCAAGAAGAGGAACAGATACGTGGATGTCATTGAAGTGTGTATGGAAGAGGCGAAACTGTAGCAATTGCGTCTGAAATAAATAGTTGGCTCTTGGAAAGTTGATTTGGGCCTGCCACAACCACATGCATGACTTTATTCAAATGGAGTCTATAATCACATGACAATAGGACAGGAGCCGCACAACTCCATGTTCCACTTGCTCTCATGGTCCACATAAATGCCTTTTAACTTCTATTCAAGAATGGAGCTGACCAGAGAAGATGATGTTGCTCTTCATGAACAAGGGTCCTCCCCTCTCCATGGCATCCTGCCTTGACTGAAAGATGAGCCGTGGCTGCTCTTCTTCAAAACCCGACTATGGCAACCCCGTTGAGAGAAGAGACGCTCCACACAGTCTGAAACCACAAGTGGAAGAAAGCTATATCCACTGTCAATAGATTAAGTGTGCCATCTGTTGGGGCACCCAGCTCCAGGGCTTGGACACCAAGTTCCAGGCACCTCAGCTCTTACCCGATCTCCAGTGAAACATGCAGCATAAGCAGAAACATCAATGTTCTTGCCACTTCCATCACCATCAGATCTTCAGCCTCACGTCTACACAAGCTGCTGCGTCGATATGTATAGTATGGAAATGCAAGACCAGAAAAGAAAGCAGAAAACGGTTGTCACTGGTATAATACCTTAGAGCATCCTCCACTTTAAGCTTCTTTCATCTTGGTTTCCCCTACCTGCACGAATCAATCTGAGAAGACTTTGCTACGAAAACAAAGGAATAACATCATGCCTACAGTCATATCTGCAACTCCACTGGACAATTTGGCAATTCGTCATTCAGGTTCCAAATTACAAAAGTTTAAGAAAATGGCACTTCCATCAAGTTGCAAATTTGAGTGGCCCGCTTTGAGACGGCTTCTTGGTGATTCCATTTCCAACAATTGTCGTTGAATCCTTCCCAAGGACTTCATGGCCAGCTTTATCAAAAGACAGCCCAAATTTTCATGATGTACAATCCATAAGCAAAGGAAAAATAGAGAACTCTACTTACCTCCAGTGAGGATGGCAATATCGTCGTGCTTCTTGCGATCTCCTCCAAGATTCTCGGCTATAAAATGTAGTCAAATCTGAGACAAAACGAAAAAATAAAGAATCCTCTAACCGAAATCCTGCCTTAGCATGCGCACTGCTACCTGCCAGAACGATCCTGCGCGAATGAGCAAGCAACGCCATGATTGCTCCCTGGCTCGGCATAGAGATCTGCCGCTCCAAAGCCCTAGCCAATGGCGTCGTGCTCGGCAAGCTGCCATAGCATCTCCAAAATCTGCTCTGAGCTCCGTGAGCAAGAATCACTAAAACTTGTATAAACTCACAAGAAAATGTCCGTATAGTTAATCTTCTAGCACAAGTGCAATTTCAATAGCTGATTGTTCTCCACACAGTGGTTTAAACTGGCACCTCCCAAACTCAAGTCTGCTGGAGGCTGAAACTGTACGAACATGACTCCAGATAAGTACTATCAGCCCAGCGATGGTCTCGAGCATCTTGATGGTCTGCAAGTCTACATGGTAAAGATGAACTCTCACTCGCAAGATCTATATATAGTCACAAAAAGCTGGGATCACTTGTGCTTCAAGTACATGTGGACATGGAGAAGTTTCACATCAAAGATGTACATGTAGTAGTTACAAAGTCTTCCAAATGCAATGTGAGTGCAACTAACAAGAACAACTTCAGCTTGGCAGTGCTTTTATTGCATACAGTGCATTACAACCATTATTAATAACGTCCAATCCAGCACCAAGCTTGCTGCCCAGGGCATACAATACCCTTTAGCTCAAGAGCACACGCCTAGGCCAGAACTGCCAAGCGGGACACAAATTTGCGAACAGCACTGAGAAGTGCTAGGATTACAAACAGTTCCAGAAGGTATGCAGGCGTTTACATGGTCCTGAGACTCCCCTGCAAAAACATGACTCACACAGTGAATCGTGAAATTCTGAACAGTAGAGCACTGAAGTGTATACCATCATTGAGAGTGAGGAACGTCTCTGGGCGGAATGACTCCACAGCCACAAGTGCAACAACCAAGAGCACTACACTGCCTTACCCTTTGCCATTGCCATTGCAATGAACTTATCTCCTGAACGTGAGAATGTGGAAGGGATGTTGTTCCTTATATATGAGTTTGTGTTGAAAACAAACAGGAAAGACTCGCTCTCACTTTAAAAACTGTGGTCCTTGCTATAGCACCACCTCAACCTCTGCAGGGCCAGCTATCCGCACGTTTTTATAGTTACCAGCAAAACATGATTCTGTCATTTTGGCATTGCAATACTTTTACATGTGGTTTACTGGTTCCTAGACTAAAGTTGATGAAAGAGCTTCAAAGTAGAAGTTGTTTAAACTAACCAAATATGGCCAGAATTACATGCTCCTTCAATTATCAACCAATGAAGTACAATGTGATGTGATAAAAAAGCTTCATTTGAACAACTCAATCTCACCCACCTATTCAATCGTTTTGCCTGCTCTGACAACTTTTCCTTTCAACCAAGTTCACTGATTGAGTTAGAAGATATTGTGAAATTGTCATTACAACTGCCCAATCTGAGCCAGCCATTCTTTGTATAGGATAAGATGTTGGGATTGCTCATTGGCCACGCACATCCCGGATTGGGTGGTTGTAATGAAGCCAACATGGAATAAGATCCTCTAATCAATTAGTGTACTGCAACTTTATATGTCAGAGAATGGGAGGGTGAAACAGTTCTAGATTTACCTCTTTGATGCAAAAGATCTTCTTCTCCTTGTTAGACTTGTTACCAAGATCACTTTGGATGTTGCTAGTGTACAACAGTGACAATAAATCAGAAACCTGGATGCCAAAGGAGTGTTCTGTGATTTATACATTCAAATTTGAGAAGAAATCATTTATACAAGTACTATATAATTTAAAACAAATTTTAAGTGCTGTATTAAATGAATGATTAATTGGCAGATAACATATTAAATAATTTTCTGTGCATTTCAATATCCCTCATATGAATAGTATCAGTATTTCTTATTAATTATTAATTAAATTGATAAATTAGGAGTTTATAAATATCAAAATGTTTAATTAATAGACACAAGATTAATCAAAATGAATAACAGGTAGAATATTCTAGATATTTTTTAGGTATATCCAGTACCACCTACTATAAACCAAAAATATATGGATTTAAATAATTAATAATTTGCATTTGTGAGGTTGTATACTAATATTAGTATAGTGGGATTTTGGTAACTGTCAAATTGGTTTCAATCCATACCATTCATTCCTATATATAAGCTAAAGTTTTTAAGCTAATTCATATACACATTTCTTTCCATATTCCATCTAAGTTGTGTAAGTCTTTATTGCAAGAGATGTGACGTGACGTTATCCAATATGTGTGTAGCTGTGTTTGGTACTAAGTTATTAATACTCCCCTTTGTGCTGCAGAAGGACAGTTGAAGTTAATTACAGTTTCTCGTCCGTTTGAGTTGGTGGCATTTGATTTGATAAGACGTTTTCCACAATCGACTGTTGGCAATGAGTATGTCATTATTGCTTCTGACTACTTGACTTGCTAGGTGGAAGTCGGTGCTCTTATTAGCATGTCTGCAAGTATTGTTGGATACTTCCTCCTCAATCGAGTGGTGTTTCAACATTTTTGTCCGGAGTAATTCTTTTAGATAATAGTCCCATATTTATAGCTGAGGCATTTCACATTTTAACATTTCGGTTGGGGATACACCACACTCTCACAAGTAGTTAGACATTTTGATAGAATGGCTCATTTGGACTTTTAAAAGGATAATTGCAAAGTATATGAACTTTTAGCATTTGGATTGAGATGGTTATTTGCCATCTATTTGATATACATATGTCACAATGGTGCAGAGTTTTGTTAATGCTTCACCATATAAATTTTTATATGGTCATAATTCAATACTACCATTACCTTCACGATTGACGTAGGTTGTTGATACTATGTCGTGGGATCAGTATTTGACGAACATTCTTCCACTTGTTTGAGCAGAGTCTACTGAACAATTGGGCCACATACAAGTGGGACAACAATAGCACTACAACTCCCATCATTGTCCACTTGCGGAGTATAAAGTGGATGATTTAGTGTTAGTCTGATTTCCCTATCTTACGGTATGTGGTTTATCTAAGGGGCTGCTTGCTCAGTAAAAAGGTCCATATTAGGTGTTGTAGTGTAGTGCACCCTATTTTTCTCCCCTTAAGCCAATTAAAAAGGGGCAATTGCTTGATGAGAGAGCTTTTAATGATTATTTTATCCCCATTTATCCCTCAAAGCCACTAAGGGCTCTCTCATCAAGTAATTGCCAATTTTCTAATTGGCTTAAGGGGAGACAAATAGGGTGTGCTACATGTGTTATTAGAGCAAATGACACAAGTTTGATTTTTATTGATTAGTGGCTACTTAAAATATAATATACATTTGAGCAAGGTATATTCCTACCCCTAAAATTTGAAATCGTATGTATTAGGCATCCATACATATGTCCTTCTTCTTGTAGAGCATCCTAGACAAAAGTATCCACCGTGGGACTGCGGTACGGATGGATGACTAGTTGCCTCACGTAAAATAGCTAATCTACAGAATAGAAAGATTGGTAAATTCAATGTGGAAATGGAGGTGCTAGTTCCCCTTGGCTTAGTAGGGGTTGTTAGTCAATAGTCAATAAGGACATTAACATCTCTAAAGGGGGGGGGGTGAGTGTAATGCATGTAATCATAGGATAAGATTAGTCTATTGGTTCAAGTAGTTATTCCCGTGCTTTCTCATAAACTTTTCTTGGATTGGACTAAAGGTAGTGCGAACGCAAGCTTGAGGTTTGGATGAGACCAAAAAGAGAGTCATCAAGGACAAAGAATCAAACACGTAAATCATTTTTCTCTTCTTGGAGAGATGATTTGCAATGAGTGTTAACTCATTGCTCGTGTTCATATTATGCAATCAAAAGTCTCTACCTTGATGCATGTTGGAAATGATGGTTTTACAAATGGTGAGTTGTGGAATGGATAGTGGTGAAATGCTATACCATTTTGTCTAGGCTTGCTATTGAAGATTTGGGTTGCAATGCTCAATTCTTTTCCGGGAAAACTTGCTATTACTCCTTGAGTAGCTTAGTGTTGGATTTGTTTTGAGTTTGGTTAGAAAGAGAGTGGTATGAACTTGTCTGTGTTATGAACAAAAGTTGGTGGTATTGGGTGTTGTAGGTCTCTATTGGTGGGGTGTAATATTTATGTAGCATTTTGTCGAATTGAGTTAACACTTGATAGACACATAAACTTTTGTAGTAGTGACATAAGCATTACTCATAGTGTTGCTCAATTGATGATCAAGTCATTGTGATTTCCATATCATATCCATGTGATTGTGAATAATGTGTTTACGAAGTTGTTTGATTAAATGATGATCAACCCCAAAGTGGTTGATAGTGATGATACTCTACTTGCACGAAGTAGCATTGTAGTAGCTTTGACTGGATTTTCGATGGTGGACCATTATGCTAAGCTTAAATTGGTACTTTGTTTCTTTAAGTTTGCCCATTAAAGTGTTAGAAAGGGTTATAGCATTCACTTGCTATGGCTCATCAGTTTATTTATTAAGACTTGGAGTAAATTGTTAGATGGAGAAGGTGTGTAATTGAGGCATTGACATCATTAGCACTTGTGTTAATGGAAGTGGCATTGTTGATTCAAGTGATGAGGACGTGCTGCTCCGATACCAATGAAATGAACAAGAGAGCAAACCCTAGGCCAACCTCCCAACCCTTAAGGCATTACGGCCTGGATTCGGCCCGCATTTAGAAGTGGTCAGGAGCACCAGAGAGCACTCTCAAGAGGACTTCTCAACAGGTGCACATTGTCAACATGACAAGATATGGTGGAGGTCCTGGTCCATTTTTCGTCCCAATGCAGATTGGTACTTCCTCTTATAGGGTGGATGCTTTGGTTGACTCCGGTTCTGGAAGCAACATATCTCTCTTGAAGCTGCCCTTTCAGCATAGCTATAGATCGCTGAGAGCTCCTCCATCGTGCTCAAGACCTTCGCCAACCACACTGTTCCTCCAACGGGCATTTGCTATGGTGTCAAGGTCTTTGTGCAAGGTGTTATTTCGGAGGCAGATTTCCTTGTGGTTGACTACCAACATCTTGGAACATCCTCTTTGAAGGACTCTATCATCCTTGGCCGCTCATAGCAAGTCACAGCCCATTGCACCATTGACAGCACAAAAGGCAAGATGGAAATTAGCGATGGAACCCATAGTGCCACCTTTCTCAACAACCACGGCAGAGCTCTTTCTTAGCAAGCCCAGCAGGCTCAGACTAAGATGGCCTCCACACCACACTCCCTCATGAGCTCATAGAGGTTTTTCCTGAGTTGGCGGTGGAGTTGACCATCTATATGACAGATGCTTTCTCATGCAATGCGATTGACATGGTTGGAGGCGAGTCAGATAGCCCGAGACATCTCTCAGCTTCACTCTCTTTATTTGAGAGTAAGGCCGAGCCTCTAGACACACCCTCTTTATTTGATGGTGGGGCTTATAAAGTACGGGCCCCTATATCCAACTTTTCGGAGTGTTTCTCGATAGAGGAAGGGCTCCTCGATTCATTTCTTGCATGGGACCAACTCTCTCTTCTGGAGCTCGATGACACAGTCACTTCAGACCAGGCCCATCTTTCACAGGACACAGCTGAACTCAATCCTCCTCAGCAACTGTCTGAGGTGTCACACAGCCCGCATCTTCCAACTAAAATCGCGATAGCTGACAACTCTAAGCATATTTTGTCATGCCGTTTCTTGGAGATAAAGGATGACATCCGGACACAAAACTGGCAGAAAGAATCAAGCCAATTAGATGTGCTGCATGCGAGTTATAGCTCTTTGAGTTTAGAATTTCCTACCGTGGAGCTCCCGGTACAAGTCCAAGTGTATTACATTGAAACTTTAGCACCAGACTTGGACTGGACTTCAGTAGAGGATCTCCCTTCACTTGCAGAGTACTTGGCTACAGTCCTTGCATTGGACATCGAGCGCTCAGAGCATCAGAAGCAAAGAGAACAATAGACAAAAACTCAGGATCCAACAGCAGC